CAAAATCCCACAAAAATAATCCGGAAAACTCAGGATCAGAGGGAGGAGATGAGCTGGGGGGAGAGCCTCACGCTTGATGACTTTGTCGGACCCCTTGATGGTGTAGGACTCGAGGATCTTCTTGGGCGGACGCGTCTTAGCCATGGGCTCGGCGGGACGGCGACGGCGAGAGGCGTGAGGAGCGGGAAGCGGGGAGCTAGGGTTCGGAGAAGAATGGGGAAATTTTCTGTTGTCTACTACCCCTCCAAACAGAGCCTCGGCCTTTTTGGTTCGAAAACGCCGAGGCGCCCTTTTTTACCGCCTCTGTGCGCTACCATTTGATTCGCTTGGTAAATCATTCGCGGTAAATTATTGCCGCCGCCCAGTGAGCGGATGGGGACGTACGGGCCATCGCTGTGGATGGTCGGGATGGAAGCTGGCGGATTGGCTGTGGGCCTCTCGTTATAAGCGCAGTGACCGAGCTAGGCAGACAAAAAAAGATGTTTAAAAAAAACTCACTATTTTTCATAAATAGTTTGGATTGCTTACCACGTGTGCCATGTGGTGAAAAAATAATTTGACATGACAAATGTATTAATTGTCCCTTAGGCGGAAACAAGGATTTCGAACACTTCCAGCGACTGCCACCGGAATCTACCCTTGATCCCTCGTTAATCGCTCCCCGGCCACCCCTGGACTTGGGCTAACTAAGGGGGATCCTCGCGATCTTCCTGGCCTTGGTTTGCGGGGGAACCGACGCGGACCGGACGACGACGATAAGATCAGATCTTAAGTGATGGCGGAGAACTCTGGATTGCACGGAAGGCTGGGGAAGGAGACTGAGGAGGAGCCTTTGTGTTAGGGTCTCTATCTCAATTCCACCATGGAATTCGAACTCGAGCTACATCCAAAGGGGAGTTTGAGGGAGGAAGGGAGCACGCGCTATCCTAGCCGGCCAACTCGAGAAGAGAGAGAGAGAGAGGGGGGGACGGTATTTAAGGGATTACAAGGCCCAAGGCCCATTCCGGGCATGCAAGCCGAGTGGGTAAACGAGGCTTGCGAGTGGGCCTGGTGTTTGAACTTGCTTCGACTTGCCGCTCCGTCGCTCCCTTGTCACTGACAATCTCCCCCTGTTGAGATGTGGCTTGCCCCCAAGCCGGTGCCCTAGGAAACATTTGCTTCGGCGTCTCCGAGTCTTCCCAAGTAGCCATTTCAGCAGAACTATCAAACCATTGGACTAGCACTTGCAGGATTCGCTTAGCACCACGGGTCACCACACGCCACTGAAGAATGAGCTCGGGAACTTGCAAACGAACCTCGGGTGATGGAAGTGACGACAGAACTTGTTGCTCAGGTTTGAGTACCTTACGAAGCAAGGAAACGTGGAACATTGGATGGACCTTGCTAGATGTTGGTACCAGTCTATAGGCCACTTCACCGACACGCTCCCGTATCTTGTAAGGGCTGAAGAATTTATAGGCCAATTTATGGTTTTCTCGTGGAGCAACTGAAGCTTGGATGTATGGTTGCAGTTTTAGGAAGACCGATTCGCCCACCTAAAAAACCCTTTATGTTATGTGTTTGTCCGTCTGCGCTTTCATTCGTTGTTGAGCACACAAAAGTTGTTGTTTAACTGTACTAAAGATAACTTGTCTCTGTTCAATCCACTGGGACGGATCATATTATGCCACTATACAGTCAAGGCCAGTGCCAAAATGACTGGGAAGATGTCCATATATAATCTCAAAGGGAGTTCTATCAGTAGTTGAATGCTAGTTGGTATTGTACCAATACTCACAAATGGAAAGCCACTTAGCCCATTTAGTGGGATGTGCACTGACGAAGCAACGCAGATAACATTCAATCTGTTGATTACGTTCAGTTTGTCTGTCAGATTGAGGATGCCTTGTAGAACTCATGTGCAGTTGGGTGCCCTGGGTATGTTGGAACAGTTCTTTCCAAAATGGACTAGTAAAGATGCAGTCACGATCAGAAACAATGGAGAGGGGTATAGCATGCAATTTGTAAACTGTGTTTACAAAGGCCTCCGCAATTATCAAAGCCGTGAAGGGATGATGTAGTGGAATAAAGTGACCATACTTAGAAAGCTTGTCAATAACAACCAATACGCAGTTGTAGATGCCCGAAGTTGTGATAAAGGCAAAGGTGTCCCGTCTTTCGATGAGATGGTGATTATCATTTTCGGAGGAGTAGACTTTAACGATCCGACTACGAACGTGCGAGGACGTCGCCCCTTAGCAATCATAAACCAACTCCGAGGGGTTATTGACCATGCCGGAGCACGATCAACCTGACCACAAGGGCCTATCTCCTGCAAGCAACCAAAGAACAAACAAGAAACTAAGATTGCAATCTGTATATTGCGAATATAAGAGGAAATCTTTATTGATCAAGATGGGGTTATGTGACGTCTTCGTCTGGTCGTTGAACACAAACGAAGTACGCGAAGTTGCAGCTATGGCAAACTTTAGTCTAAACAAAATCCAAAGTCTAAACGATGCCCTAAGGGTTGTATTGAAGGAAATATGCCCTAGAGGCAATAATAAAGTTATTATTTATTTCCTCACATCATGATAAATGTTTATTATTCATGCTAGAATTGTATTAACCGGAAACATAATACATGTGTGAATACATAGACAAACATAGTGTCACTAGTATGCCTCTACTTGACTAGCTCATTGATCAAAGATGGTTGAGTTTCCTAGCCATAGACATGAGTTTGAGGGAAATATGCCCTAGAGGCAATAATAAAGTTATTATTTATTATTTATTTCCTTATTTCATGATAAATGTTTATTATTCATGCTAGAAATTGTATTAACCGGAAACATAATACATGTGTGAATACATAGACAAACATAGTGTCACTAGTATGCCTCTACTTGACTAGCTCGTTAATCAAAGATGGTTAAGTTTCCTAACCATAGTCATGAGTTGTCATTTGATTAACGGGATCACATCATTAGGAGAATGATGTGATTGACTTGACCCATTTCGTTAGCTTAGCACTTGATCGTTTAGTATGTTGCTATTGCTTTCTTCATGACTTATACATGTTCCTATGACTATGAGATTATGCAACTCTCGTTTACCAGAGGAACACTTTGTGTGCTACCAAACTTCACAACGTAACTAGGTGATTATAAAGGTGCTCTACAGGTGTCTCCGGAGGTACTTGTTGAGTTGGCATATTTCGAGATTAGGATTTGTCACTCCGATCGTCGGAGAGGTATCTCCGGGCCCACTCAGTAATACACATCATTATAAGCCTTGCAAGCATTGTAACTAATGAGTTAGTTGCGGGATGATGTATTACGGAACGAGTAAAGAGACTTGCTGGTAACAAGATTGAACTAGGTATTGAGATACCGACGATCGAATCTCGGGCAAATAACATACCGATGACAAAGGGAACAACGTATGTTGTTATGCCTTTGACCGATAAAGATCTTCATATAATATGTAGGAGCCAATATGAGCATCCAGGTTCCGCTATTGGGTACTGACCGGACACGTGTCTCGGTCATGTCTACATAGTTCTCGAACCCGTAGGGTCCGCACGCTTAACGTTCGGTGACGATTTGTATTATGAGTTTATGTGTTTTGATGTACCGAAGGTAGTTCGGAGTCCCGGATTAGATCGGGGACATGACGAGGAGTCTCAAAATGGTCGAGACGTAAAGATCGATGTATTGGACGACTATATTCGGACATCGGAAAGGTTCCGAGTGATTCAGGTATGTTTTGGAGTACCAAAGAGTTACGGGAATTCGCCGGGGAGTATATGGGCCTTATTGGGCTTTAGGGGAAAGAGAGAGGAGAGGCTGCCCCCCCAATGCTTAGTCCGAATTGGACTAGGGGGAGGGGCAGCGCCCCCTCCTTCCTTCTCTTCTCTTTTCCCTTTCCTTCTCTCCTACTCCTACTACTTGGAAGGGCTCCTAGTTCTACTAGGAAAGGGGGAACCCTACTCCCGGTGGGAGTAGGACTCCCCTAGGACGCGCCATAGAGAGGGCCGACCCTCCCCCTCCTCCACTCCTTTATATACGGGGAGGGGGGCACCCCTTGGAGACACAACAATTGATCATTAATCTTTTAGCCGTGTGTGGTGTCCCCCTCCACCATAATCCAGCTTGGTCATATCGTAGCGGTGCTTAGGCGAAGCCCTGCGTCGGTAGCATCATCATCACCATCATCACGCCGTCGTGCTAACGGAACTCTCCCTCGAAGCTCTGCTGGATCGGAGTTCGTGGGACGTCATCGAGCTGAACGTGTGCTGAACTCGGAGGTGACGTGCATTCAGTACTTGGATCGGTCGGATCGTGAAGACGTATGACTACATCAACCGCGTTGTGCTAACACTTCCGCTTTCGGTCTACGAGGGTACATGGACACACTCTCCCCTCTCGTTGCTATGCATCACCATGATCATGTGTGTGCATAGGATTTTTTTTGAAATTACTACGTTTCCCAACAGAGTTGTCATTTGATTAACGGGATCACATCATTAGGAGAATGATGTGATTGACATGACCCATTCCGTTAGCTTAGCACTTGATCATTTAGTTTACTGCTATTGCTTTCTTCATGACTTATACATGTTCCTATGACTATGAGATTATGCAACTCCCAATTACCTGTTCTACCAAACGTCACAATATAACTGGGTGATTATAAAGGTGCTCTACATGTGTTTCTGATGGTGTTCGTTGAGTTGGCATAGATCGAGAATAGGATTTGTCACTCCGATTGTCGAAGAGGTATCTCTGGGCCCTCTCGGCAATGCACATCACTATAAGCCTTGCAAGCAATGTAACTAATGAGTTAGTTGCGGGATGATGCATTGTGGAACGAGTAAAGAGACTTGCCGGTAACGAGATTGAACTAGGTATTGAGATACCGACGATCGAATCTCGGGCAAGTAACATACTGATGACAAAGGGAACAACGTATGTTGTTATGCGGTTCGACTGATAAAGATCTTCGTAGAATATGTAGGAACCAATATGGGCATCCAGGTTCCGCTATTGGTTATTGACCAGAGAAGTGTCTCGGTCATGTCTACATAGTTCTCGAACCCGTAGGGTCCGCATGCTTAACGTCCGTTGACGATATAGTATTTATGAGTTATGTATGTTGGTAAC